GACACTGAAAATCCATCCGCCCGTGTATTACGCACGTATCGCAAAAGTTTATTTTCAAGTTCTGGAAATTTAGCTTTCTTTCCGCGGAAAGATTGTCGATTTTGTGACGTTTTTTCAAGGGCATCTTTTGTTAGTATCCATCTTTGCATATTTTTTTCGTCAACGTCGAATTTTCTCCCTGCTGCTCGATTTCCGTGTTCTTGTGCGTAACGCACCACTTGAAGTTTAAATTTAGACGTATAACCTGCTATTACTCAACCCATGTTTCACTCAGAACTAACCAGGCAAGTCAAGTAGAGGCGAAAAGGTTATAACTCTCCCCCGCAATGCCTTTGTTCCGAGCAGTACCGTTATTTTCGCTAGTTGCGAACTTAGGAATGTTAAACGTTGCCAAATTTCGGAATAATTTCTACTCCTGAAATAATATTCCAAGAAAATTATTTTTTCCATAATTTGTCTGAAAATTGTGCTGCGGCCTATACATGTGTAAATACAGTATTTAAACTTAAATCTCATGACTGATAAAGATTCCACTTTGGTCAGGGAATTAAAAGATCATAAGGCAGAAGCTAAGTTTTAATAACAGATTCCATGATATGAACTATGGTGTTTACCTGGTCATCTCGAGCAATTGCTGCCGACACATGCTGCCAGAGATGCTCAGACTCAAACTCTCCCTGCTGATCCACTGGCACTGTGAACCGCTTCAGTCTTTGGGAGCGAACTTCTGGGGTTGGCTTCCAGAAGAGCTGCTCTTCCTACAATGCGGGTCTCCTTATAGTTCATATCAACCTCAAGACACCATTCTTAAACACTACATGGTGTGATCAAATACCAAAAACTGCATTTCTTATTTATATATATGTGGTTACTGTAATGTCATTTTCAATAGCTCAGATTTTATATAATATCAATCAAATGACAGGAAGGTTCTTGGCATAGATGCCACCGTATCTTCTTGTTAAGTGGCCAATCGGCCAACCACAACATTAAATACTCCTTAATATAAATCAGTAGCAACTTTACATCATATGGTATATAAGAGAAGACTTAAACGAGTCAGGAAACATTCCGATAGTCTAGTAATCGCCACAGATTTTTCAGAGGAACACAGTGTGCCTCCATCTTTCACCCTGAAGATGGAAGCAGCATGTTCCTCTGCAACAATGAAACAATCCTCCAGCCTACACAGAATTACATCCCAGTACAGAGTTAACATTCACAATCACTGATGTAAAAATCTCAAATCTCCCTTGCAATTATTATGCTGGGAAATTCTCTAATTCTGAGAAACAATAAAATGTCACATCAATGTACTTACCCCCATCCTTCGGTCTTTAATGAAAATGCTGCCATCCCAGTAACCTTCTATAGTAGCTAGCGTCTCCTTCCCCAACTTCAGTCGACCGGATATTGCATTAGTTTGCTCTGCACCTCCAAGGAATGGCTGGTTAACACAATTATGACAAACAACTACTTAATAATTTTCTGCTCCAGTCATACATTCTATTTTACTTCAATGTGCAGATTAATATAATAAAAACTGTTAAGACTGTAACCTTCTGTGATGTGATGCCATGTTGCCTGTCAGATTACCAATATTTTAGAGGAACATACAGGTTCCATTGTCTTCACCTTCAAAGTAACCATGTAATTGGAAGTGGTATACTTCTCTGAAAACAATGGCAACCCTCTACTAAACTACATGTGATCAACTCCAGAAGACAAATTTAAATATTCATTTCCACAGGAATCTCAAATCTCATAATGCTAGGTGTTGATTTATTTAATGCTTTCATTCCTAACACAGAACATCATGTCTCTCACATTACAGAACCACAATCCATACCATGCTGCCCCTACAATACATACTGGAGAGGTAATTCTCTCATTTTCTGACTACACAACAAACTACAACTCTGAAGCCCTCATCAACTAAGTCTTCCCCAAAACACAGTGATGTAAAGCTAAAATTGCTGCATTTTCTGTTTGTGTTGCATAGAAAAGACACTGAAAGAGTTCATTTTCTTGCCTTCACCACTATTTGCAGTACCTAGCAATAATTTTCTACCTCAGCTCTGCACAAAGTTACACAAACAAAAAAGGGAAAATTAAATATCTGTTCATGCTTCTTAAATTTTAAAATGTTATACTTCACCCGCTTATTTAATGACTGTTATTTTGCAGAACTTTCAGTTGCAGAGGTTATGTGGCACCAAATGAAATGGGAAGACTGTAAATGGTGAATAATTAAGAATTTGCAATGAGACAATTGTGACAGATTTCACGGTACTTCCTATGGAAAAGTAACAGAAGCTATGGAAAACCTCTGGTCAAGCTAGCTGGTAACCTACTAAGTCTAAGGCCAGGTGCCACACGAATACAAATCTAGAGCATGACTGCTAAACCAACCTGCTCAGTACATTTCACATAATTTGGCATTATTTTTATCAGGGGCTTGCAATCTGACTTCAGACTGCAGTCTGGGTTATGGCACTGTAGTTTTGCAGTTCACCAGCATTTTGGAGGATCATATTGCTTGCATATTCAGCTTCAAATTGATCAGGATGTTACACAGCCTGGTGGGCATCAAAAAATGTGGTCACTCGGAACTGATGGAGGACGTGCGGAAGAGGACCCCCTGTCCAGGCCAACAGAAAGGACATATGAGAAACTTCCCATCTGCAGGTGGTGAAAAGAGAAACTGCCCTTTGAAAAAGCAAGGTGACACAGGTTGAGTCATACAAAACCACAGGAGGCAAAAAAAAAAAAAGAAAAAGAAAAAGCTATGCCTGTAATAGGTTGTGAGACATCGAGGCACCTGCATTTTCTCTAGACAATCAGCTCACAGATGGCGGTAAAACTGTCAGTCTTATGCACCAGCCACCCTTTACCCCCCAACATGAGGAGACAAGGAAACTTACATGATCAGAATGTTATGAAAATTAAGAAACCATCATCACAGATTAGAATTCTAAAATTTAACATGGATCATAGGGAGTTACATTGCAGAAATGAGAGGTGGATGAAAGTAGCTCAGACAGTTGTCCAATGTCAGGCTTTATTAACAGCAGCATTCATCAGGTTTTTCTCCCACACTTCTGTTAGTCACTTAGTTTACATATTTAGAACTAAGGTACTTTTAAAACATTATCCAATATTTTATAGTGTTATACTAAGATTATAAGAAGCAAATGTATACATGAACACTGGCATTACATCTATTTAACTGATAAAATGAGCTGTCAACTATTGTGACAAAAGAGAAACAGCCGAACTATCACTTCTGATACAATAAACAAACTTCGTGGGGTTATACACATGAATAAGACGCAATACTGAGCCTTTCAAAATGTCTTCACTTGTATAGGAGTGAAGAGAGTAATTCCACATTAGTGCTACACCACTGAAATCTCATTACACAGGATTTCACATTAGCTTTTCTGGCTAAGCATCATACTACTGTGACAGCACAAGTATGCGGTCCAGCTATCAAGTCTTGTTTTTCAATACTTTAGTCAAGAGTGGTTGATTAGTCCCTGCTCGAAAACAGGGAAAAGGACAGTGAGCCAATACCAGAGTTTAGAAAGTGGTTTGTGAACAAGGCAGTGAAGGTCAGGGCAAACAAGTACACTGTTCTAAGCTAAGCTTCATTATTCATCAAGAGATGTCAAATGTGAACAGAAAAATAAGGGCGGGGACTAGACCATGCTACTAGTATTGTAACTCCCATGTTATGGCATCTGGTGATGCAGACCCATGCATTTGAAGTCTCCTGTACATCTTTGAGGCTACATCATTACACAACGATGTAGACCATAGTACTGCACTTCAACACCCTGTTGCACTGAGGTATCACTATACACATTCACTTCTGTCCTCAATGCAACTCTGTTCTCAATAACATTAAAACCACCATCAGCTATTACATGTTTTGACCTTACTTGGCCATCCTCAGGCAACTGCTAACTTTTCAAAACCGCACTAGTCCTTAAGTCAAAATATTTCAATGCTATTGCATTTCCATCATTCACATTAAAATAAATTTGTTTGGGAACACAACTCTTTATCCTTTCCTGTGCTTTTTTCCCCTTGCGGTGTCTGTTTTTTTTTTGTGTTGCTTTATTTAGCCCTCTTAACATCGGCATGGTGTTATCATTATTATTATTATGTGTGCCCCATTAGTATGTATGTTCCTACTAGTCAAGCATATGTTACTTTTGTATCATTACTATTATGTGCCCCATTTGCATGCACGTTCCCACTAGTCGAGTGTGTCACACTTCTAACAACTAGTAGGTACATGCATACTAATGAGACACATAATAACAGCAAACAGCAACAAGATGCTGATGTTCATCAGAGCTAAATAAAACAACACAAAAAACATTGGCGCCATGCGAGGAAAATGGCACAGGAAAGGATGAAGACTTATGGTCTCAAACAAATTTATTTTAGCACAGACAAAAATGCAATAGCATTAAAATATTTTGACTTCAGAACTAGTGCAGTGTGGCAGTTTCAAAAGGTGAAGAGTTGCCTGGGGATTGCCAAGTGAAGCCAAAACATTTAACAGTTGACTGTGATTATAATGTTACTTTAAATTAAGGAGAGACTGTGAACAAATTTGTATTGAAGACAGAAGGAAATGTATGGAGTGATGATGTACATCATTATGTCATCATTAGAATGATACTATAGAAATTAGTCTTGACAGATGCTATAGCATGTTATGTAATGCAAACATGACCTATGATTCCGATCACTGGATTTTTGGACTTTGTCAAGGATCCAGTATTCTAAAAAACATGACGTTTCAGAAATTGGATCTTCTTTCATCCTCAGGTGAAAGGATGGGAGGCACCTACTCTGCTGGGTCTATTATAAAACGCTACCCTCAATCACTGAACCCGTTACTGAGATGAACTCTTTCGAATGGACACAGCAGAGTAGGTGCCTCCCACCCTCTCCTCTAAGGACAGAAGCAGATCCTCATTCTGAAATGTCATATTCTTTAGCATACCAGGTGATGCAGAAAGTCCATAAACTTAGCAATTCTGAGTGTTATACACCATCATCAAAACATTTCAGAATCTTCTAACAGCAGTGACCACGAAGATGACTGCTGTCTGCAAAGTGCTGTCATGTAGTTTAGTAGATGTATACCAACGTTTTAGAAGAGCCTACTGCCTTCAAGATGTCAGCAAACATCTACCAAACTATATAGCGTCACATCCCAGAAGACAGTAATCTTAATGAGCACATGTTTAAGCACAGCGTATATTATCCTGTATTCAGAAGGACAGTGTCAATCAGTATTTTTCTGTAACCCTGAGCAGAACACATTAAAGTCAATGGTAGTTACTGTAATCATAGCAATATTTACAAACCTTTAATTTAAATTCAATTTCAGTTTTATAACCAGTTTTCTCACAGTCAATGACAACTTTCCCTCCTAGTTCCATCGTAAGAGTGCCCATGAGGATGCCTTTACAATGTGCATAGGGAATCGTTATACTGTAGTCTTCACCGCGAGGCAATAGGGTAAGCAAAGCCACACCATCTAGAATTGCTGAAGTAGAGTTGCCTGAAAATTACATACAGAGTCTTACTTAAGCAAGTATACAGCAAGCTTATTGTGCATGCAGAGACTAAGATATTTACACTGACTATCCATACCATAGAATTTGGACTTTGCTAATATGGACGCACTGATGCAGAAACCATCTTGTCGATTTGTCACATAAAATGCAGAAACTGGTGGATGATGTGAGACCTGCAACAAAGAGAAACAAGTTTGGAAATATACGCACAGCATAATATTTCCAGCATGTTAAATGCCATTACTGTTAGAAAGCATAAATTTCTACTTTAACCCCTTAGAGGCTGAAATTTTTCTAAACAATATATATAAATCCAGATTATACCTCACAGGAAACACATTACATCTCCGCCCAAACAGTTAATGACATTTAGGGAAATAACTGCTGTTCATTACAAGCATCTGAAAGACATCTAGACCCTGTGGCAGAATGCAAAGTTTTAGTCTGTTAAACCAGGAGGTACATATACAGAGTGATTCAGAAAGATGGACACAATTTCAATTGACTATATTTCCTGAACTGTATGTTGCATTTGAATTCTGTAAAGTACATTTGAAAGAGGATGTTACAAAGTTTCTAGTACTACCGCTAGTGCCCTCCATCACTGCGTCCCGGGCCGATCGCGTGTATCGGAGGAGAACGTGGAGTGCATTCGAGTGAACTTTGAGCGCAGCCCAATGAAGTCAACCCGTAGTGCTAGTAGAGAACTTGGACTATCGCAAACAACTGTGTGGCGTGTACCACCTCTTCCCACAAATTTGAATGACCTAAGAAACTGTATCACAGCTGCGGTGAACTCAGTGACGCAAGATATTTGTCATCGAGTGTAGGATGAATTCAGCTACCGTCTAGATGTCATCCGTGCAGCCGGAGGAGGGGGGGGCACACTGAACATCTATAAACTTCCATGTATGTATAATCAAGTGTAATTTACAGAATTCAAATGCAACATATAATTCAGGAAATATAGCCAATTGAAATTGGGTCCATCTTTCTGAATCACCCTGTAATAATCACTGGGATTTAAGAGGTTAATTATCTCAAAAGCCTGAAGACTTATGGAAAAAGTAAACGGGGCATAAAAAGTGTTTTACTTTTCTCCACAACTTTTGTTCATAACAAAATGATAAATATTAAGCGAGTAACAATATGATTTACCCTTAAGAAGTCTACAAAAATGGTTTAAGTCTTCATGTCTTTTCCACTACTGCTGTCCAATTTCAACCAAATTCAGAATGTGTCAACAAATACTTCTATAACTCCCCAATATCAGATTTCATGAAAATCCATTCAAAGATTCTAAAACTGTTACATGTAGACAAATGGAATGTCATAACACTGTGAAGTTAATAACAGACATATTTTAACAATTTCCAGCTGTAAACATGCCTAAAAAGTTGCATGTGAATTAAAATATTAAATTTACATAATTAATTCTGTACACATCACCAGTGTTATTCGGCATCATAAATTTATTTACATGAATAACTGCAAAATTACTGAATAACTTTTTATCAAGACAAAATTTTATGAAAATAAAGAGAAACCATGACTCCTAATTTCGGTGACATTTAGAAAATTGTAAGAAAACTTATCTGGGTAAGACAATTTTTGGAAAAACTAAGTGGTAATTACTGGGATCTCAAATTTGTAAGGTACCCACCTCCGAAATAGTGCATCACACAGAATACGGTTAGGAAGTAACATGTTCTTTTCGAAACAGCAATGTATCAAAAACACTGCAAAGGTCAAAAGTGAGGACAGACACAACCAGTCACCTGTTCAGCCAGGTAGAATGTCCTAGAACCATTCGCATGCTTCCAGTAGCACCGAAATGTTTCTCCCAGGATTGGATTGTATGGCTTCTTCAGACCCTTTGGTTTCTTGTAGAAGCCTGAGAGGTACCACTTCACAATCCCTTTCATTCTGGTGAAAGCATCATCTTCCAACACAGCTCTGGAATGATCAAACATCAGAGTAATGCTCACATATGAATAGTGCAGTCACAGTTTATGTGCAGAATATGTTCCTGAAGACCTTGCATAATTGAAGACAAGTTATACATGATTCCTGCCAAGTTTTTTGGGATTTGCATTATTTCAATCTCTGCACATAAACTGAGATTTTAATATTTTCTATATTGTACTATTTAAAATTTGCATTAATTGTGACCACACCATACTTATAACAGGATTAAGGTAAAGGTAAAATTGTCCCTGTGCTTAACTAATTAAGCACTATGTCATGAAGGTGTATGGGGGAGTGGATGTATAGATCCATGTTTTCTTGACCTCGACATTAGTTGGAGGTGAGTTATAACAACATGACTAGTAATATTATTAATAGTTATGAAACACAGAGTAATAAAAAATTTCCTTTACTACCCATGAGATGCATTACTGTAATGGCACATTACTGACCCAGTTTGCTGAGCACTGCATATTTTTATACCATTACCATTACCTAGAGATAAAATTATGCTGCCCATACCACAGCAGCGGGACATCTGAATCCCCTATTCATGAAAACTGTTACCACATGTACATCATATCAAGGTACCAACCCTGCAGTACCAGAAGACTTAAAATCTCCTACTGCTAAATGATCAAGCTGTCAATGAACTTTTTAGATCTGGCTACCAGTCCTGTAGAATCAGGAGACTTAAGAGCTCCTACTCATCATCACTGGTAGTCGGGATAGCGTAGTCGGTATAGCAAATGGCTACAGGCTGGACGGCAAGAGGGTCAATGTTTGAGTCCTGGTATGGTCAAGTATTTTCTCTTCTCCACATCATCCAGACAGGCTCTCTGGCCCATCCAGCCTCCTATCCAATGGGTACCGGGGGGCTCTTCCCCTGGGGATAATGCAGCCAGGGCATGAAGCTAACCAATCACCTCCAATTAGTGCCAAGATCAAGAAACTGTGGATCTATACATCCACTCCCCAATAAACCTTCATGGCATAGTGCTTAATTAGTTAAGCACAGGGACAACTATACCTTTACCTTTTACTCATCATCACTGGTAAAACAGCCCTTTCTGAGCCATGCCTTCTTTAGAAGATTCTGCCATATTTAACTACAGACAACATGGAGGTAAGCGAAGTTTAAATCTAAATGCTAACCCTGTGGTACTGGGAGACTTAAAATCCCTGCTCCTGGAGAATAAACTGTATGCACAAAGTTCAAATCAGCTGCCAGCCCCATTGCACCAGACCTGAAATCTCCTATTTTGGGATGACAAACTGTAACCACAAAGTTTAAACAAAGACCTTTCAGAATATTACACAGTATGAGAACAAGAACTTACTTTGAGAGAATGTCAGCATGGTAATATGAGTCCGACAGCTTATCCAGGAAAGACCGAGGCTCCAAAATGAATGTGGGAAGCACTACTTTTGAGAGGTCCATGCCTGGCCGCACCTGCTTCACAAGGTACCAGATGAGGGACTTGTGCTCCTCAGCAAGCTCTTCCACCTGCTCTCCAGCCTGTACCGAACACCAGTATTCACTATATAGAAACAGAACATGTCACTCGCTACAACAACATATGGTGTCCCACTGTCCGTCCCCACCATGGCGACACTTATATACTGGCACATCTGAAGACAATTACAGATTACAAGTTTGGGAAGGCTGCTGTCAAAAGTCTGCAACAGACCTTGGAGCCAACTCTTAAAATTAGGAGCCAGAAGGAATTCAATGAAGACTGACAAGTATTATTATGATGTATGGGAGAGTAGAAGTACAGCTCCACATATTCTTGACTTCAGCACTACACTGAGATGAATGGTCAGCTTCACACTTCAGCTGGTTTATTCCTATGGCAAGACCCTTTGGTAGACATGTTCCTACTGGAAATTGAATCCTGGTCATTCAGCCCATAGCAAGTCACTACACTGACTGAGCTAACCTGACCATTTTTAATTAGTAGCTACAAAATATGTACAATTTTTAAAGAAGCTTTAAACCAAGACAAAAAAAGATAATTCTGCACAGATGCCCTGACAAGTCCATTACTGTTTATTAGAGAGGGGTACAGAATAAAATTCAACAGACCCTACCATCTACAGTAAAACTTGGTTATAGCAACATCGGTTTCTGCGACACCTTGTCTATTGCGTCAAATATTCAATGGTATGAACTAATTCCTCATAAAGCAACTGTTTTTATACCTTGCTTAGCATGACATGCACAAATGCATCAACCTCGTATGTAACGTCATTTTCATTCCTGAATTTCTCTGATATGGACATTGAACGTAATTTAGAAAGTGTGTATTGGGCAAGTAACAGGAAACAGATGAAGATAACTGATTACTGTACTCGTATCTAGGTACAGTAAGGCACAACAATTGATGTAATCTACTGTAATTTGGTGAGTAGGCCTACCTTTAATATACAGTATTAGTGCGGTGTGTATTGTCAGTGAAAAGCGCTGTAATATGTCTTTGATATTACACATTTGGGCAATTCCACGTTAATGTTACGTTAGTCTGTACTTAACTACGTATTTCACTAAAAAAATGCAACATTTTAACTCGGTTTTTGGTAGATTTTTACGTGACTAACATAAGGCTACTGTGGAAGTGCCCATTTCGGTTACAACGACATTCGTTTATAACAACACTATTTTTAGGTCCATTTGATGACGTTATAACCAAGTTATACTGTATTAAAAGACTCAGGGACATATTCATCACAGGTTTGAATCAAGGTGTTCACATCAATCTATCACAGAGGTACAACCTGTGTGTGTGGACTGGCTGGGACCAATTAAACCAATCACAATGTTCCATACATTTCTGCTGGTTTTTGGAGTAAAGTGAACTATCTGTTATCTGGCATGTACAAGTATGGGGAATGGTGAGTGTGTCTGTTACATGAAGCTGCCAGTTGCATGAGAAGAACTCTTACAGAAACAAAATCAGAAGTCAAAACACCAGGTTCTTGCTTCAGTTATAGCATGACAGTCTTCATAGGTGACACAGCAGATTGAGGGTGAAAGATTTCTGAAACACTGCAACACAATCACAAATTCCAGCAGCCTGCATAAGGGACACTAGGCAGCACTGGTAGTGGTGGCTCAAAGATATGCTGTGTGGCTGCTGAACATACATGCATCACAGTTTTGTTTCTGAAATAACTCTGAGAATGGTAAATATTCATTCTAACAGTTACTGATTTCATGATAATTACAGATGCTAAGATACCAGATAACACAAATTACTAGGTTTTTAGACTTTGCCCATCATCTGGTATTCTAAAAACTACAAAACACAATGTTTCAGAAACTGGACCTGTTTTTGTCCTCAGATGGGGGGTGGGGGGCACCTACTCTGTTGGGTTCCCTAGAAAGAGCTAAACTTAGGCCCCCCATACACACACAGTTTGGCCTTCTGATCGACCTTACAGGCAAAACTGTGACAGTTTACCCCCTCCCTTTCCTCCCCATACACGCGCAGATAAAGCGGCAGGCTTCATGCCACAGTCACGGTCTTCCAGCCTATAATGTTGAGTCACACACGTCATGTGCTATGGTCCTGCAGGCAGAACTGACGGACTGACAGGTTTCCCACAGGCCAACAGTCCAAACGATTGGCCGGCCGGCCGCACCACACGCGTCAGTTTTGCCTTTCAGTCTTCAACTGTCCAGGCCGAACTGAAGGCCAAACTGTGTGTGTATGGGGGCCCTTAATCACTGGACATGAGGCCAAAAACAGATCCAGTTACTGAAATGTTGCGTTTTCTAGTGTTTAGAACACCGGACTATGGATAAAGTCCGAAAACCCAGTAATTCTGAATGTTATACACCATCATCAGAACCCTTCAGAATCCAGATAACAGGAGTTTACTGCAGTTTGAACGGAAATGCTTTAGGATTCAACAGTGGCTGGAGCAGCAAAGGATACTAAAAGATGTGAATGTTAAAATTTGTCATATATAAATATACAGTATATAAAAACACAGAACAATATTTTCTTGGACTTGAGGTCAGAGTGATGAAGACTACATGGTTTCACATCACAAATGGCAGTACTATTTTAAAGCACAATACTCCACAGAATACTAGACATCATATTGAAAACTGTAGGTGCCCTAATGATCTGGCACCTGTTGATCCCTGGCTTACATCACCATGTTCCTTGAGAGCAAAAGGAAAACCACAAAATGTCCACTCAAATGGTAGCTGCTTCGAAATTAAATCAGCTTGATCTGTGACTATGAAATCAAAACTGCAAATTATTATTTGCTATGCTTTGCTACCACATTCTCACATTCTACTGTTTTATCACATGGCCTTAAGACAATTCAAGAAAACACATGTGAGTGGGGACTGGAAGGAAGAAGGTATGTGACCTCATGCATCACAGAGAATAAAAGTCCTCACAAAATTTGGTGAATCAAGTCTTTATAATCAGAATCAGACCTCTTAGTCAAGTTCACTTCCTTATCCTTACAGCTTAACTGCTACAGTTTGTAGCTCATGATACAAGCAAGGGATTATGAAACTTTCTGACAAGTCTAATGCATTGACCTACTTTTATTTTTGTATTTCACTTCCAAAATCAACATGCTGGCTGCTGCTGCATTTGCATGATTGTGTAGAAGCTCAAAGGATGAAAGGTTTTCAAGTCAATGAGGATTAACATTGTGTCCTTTTAGGTTATGACACCACATAGTCTGGTAAATGCGTAGTACAGTTTTGAAGGGAACTTACTGTCTCCACCTTCTACACAGAAGTCCGTCGTGTTGCAAAAGTGGCTCGATGTACAGAAAGGGGAAGAAAGAAATCATGGAGGAAGGGGCTGACCTACAGTATCGCAGATGGGAAAGATAAGCTGGGGCACTGCACGGACCAACAGGCATCACGGGTACTGAAAAGGCTAACTACTTCAGGATGGGATAAAGGAAAAAGTAACAAATAAACTCTCTTCATGGACAGAGGCAGAGGAATGATAAGACAAGACTCAACCTTGGACTAAGTTGCATCATGTCCTGCTCAGGGATGTGGAAGAAAAAGGAGACTGAACACTGAATGGCTAGCATTTCAACATCTACACAAGCCAACAGGATAATTTAGCAACATTTCAGTACAACAATAGAAAATAACTAAAGTAAATAATTACACTGCCAAACTCCTCCACTTCACCATGATGTATGTAGGGAGTTTCAAGCGGCTCTCCTTCCACCTCGTGCAGCCCCTCCTTTTTGACAGAGCCTTCAGACTCTGACTCAGACATGGACCCCTGCTCAGCTCCACTGAGATGGTCCACAGCTCCTCCAACATCTGGCTGACTGATGTCATCCAAATCTGTGTGGTGAGGGGATGGGACTACAGTAATGTGGGGGGAACCACTATCCTTACAGCCTGAGGGGACACTTACCTGGGTCATACCACATTCAGCAGCATGCTTAGATGTAGAAGCAAGGTGAATGGGGGAGTCCAGATAGGAGAAAGTATGGGTCCTAGAGTCATGCTGCGAAGAATCTGGGTTTGGACTGCTACATGCATGGGAAGGGGACTCGCCCAATTCTTGCTCCATATAAGCCACTGCATGATACAGTTGCTGGAAGAAGGGGGTTGGGGAAGGGCAGGGGCTCATACCACTCAGTGGAGGCTGCAAGTGGACATCAGCTGGGGCTGGGCTACTGTGGGAACTAGCAGCTGTGGTTGAAAGCAACATCTTGCTATGTGGAGCAATGGGAGACTTTGGACAAAAGCTCTTTAATAAATGGCGAATGGGTGGAAAAACATCAACTGGAATATATATACAACAGGAAAGGGAGAGAAATTTAAAAATGGCATCACATTTGTGTTTGCTGAGACTATTCGATATTTTATTTACTTTATATCAATTTTATTATTATTATTGTTATTATTATTATTATTATTATTATTATTGGAGGGGGTGGGTTTCCCCATGCACCGCGACTAATAGTCTACTGTACGTCCCCCTTTGATATTCTACCAGTCGCCATACCCTGCCGGTACTGGTGTTCGCTATCAGCCCCGTTCAGCCAGCAAGGCTGGCAGTGGTATCCGATAACTTCCCCATCTACCGGAGGCATTGGAAACTACTTGGGAGGGAAACTTTGCCTAATTTTGCTCAGAGTTCTCCTAGAGACATGAGGATCTTTTACGTGTCATAAATCTACGACAAGGGACCCACAGCTGAAAGTCCCTCCCAGAGGACTTGTTCCCTGAATTTTTCCGCCCTTAAAAATTAAACAACCTCTGCCGGGTTTGAACCCGTGTACCTTGAGTCATGAGGTGGGAACGTTACCCCTAGACTACGAAGGCCGCTTTATATCGATCTTAATAAGATGGCTGATCAATATTGTTTTCAGAAGCAGTGGTTAAGATCATTACCGGTCATTAAGTAAATATCTGATATAATCAAATTCAGTAAGTTTTATGAAAGGGTTTTATGTCATATCACTATTAAAGGAATTAAAGATGATTTTGAGAGTAAATTAAATTTCCAAAGACCAAAAACATGAGTTAATATGGGACAAATGTCAGTACTGGCTATCTGAAATGTCTCTGAGGGTGCATTATACTTCATGTACATGATCTTACAGCAGAAAAGCTCTGTGTTCAACATGATCTCTGGTATGGTCACTCTGGTGTCCATCATAAGATGAAAATATACCTCATAACTTCCCAATGATGAAATAATGACCTATGTCATTATCTGATGATATAGCAACCTCAAAGACATATCAGGTACAGTATATCTTATTACACAAACATAACTGTTTAAATGTAAGATGACTTTCTTCATAACTGTTTAAAACTTAGAATCCTAGCCAATGCTCTTTAGTGACTGTTCTTCTCTTATGCAACAGTTGATATCCATTGAAGTAGAAACTACTTCAAATTTCATAAACTAAAACTAACAAACAGAGCAAAACCTGCTGAAGTAAATGTATGTAAAATGGGCATACAGCCAAACAAAAAAATTATTAAGCAGAATATGTCACTAATTGAAATTACTCTTTTGGACATGTCCACTGATTTATAAAACAACTATAACTAACTTCCTGAATCTGCAATCACTCATGTGCCAGGTCAGCAATGAAACCCCAGCTTAAGCATTAAGGATGTGATAATGTGCCCCTTGTTGGTGTCTCCACCTTATCGTGGTGAGGGGGTTTGAGTATGCCAAGGACCCTGAGAGCTATACCAGAGGTAGTGTAGCTACTGGCAGGGCCTCCCTTGCTGGACAGGTCAAAGGGTAGGCATCAGACGAAGAGAGACACCAAAAACCAAAAGCTGATGACAGAAGCACCGTCATCAGCAGCGACCTGAAGCACAGAGCAAATGATGCTCAAGATGGTTCAAGTTTGTATAGCAACAGGCGTGACCAGAGTGGTTTGAACGGCTGTTGTACTGCGATGTGGAAAGCAAATGGATAAACTGGATAGTCTCTTTCCAAAATCAGAGATACCATGAATGCCGCCAGAAGACGAGGAAAAAGACGTAAGAAGATGCTGGATGACCTTGGGGACAGAAGAGGATATTTTTATTTGAAGGAGAAAGCTCTAGATCGCATTAAGTGGAGGAACTGTTTTGAAAGAGACTGTGGACCTGTCGTATGACAGATTACTGATGGGAAAAAAAAATGTGCTGCCTGGTCAAGGCTACCATAAACCTCAGTGAACTGTTTTCCTTTTCTGTGGGTTATTTTACAATGCTATCAGTAGCTAGATTACATGGCACCAAATCTCATAGGAGTGGGATAATGGAGCAATGGTGGAATGATGATTAGCATGGGAAAACAAGAGAAACTTGGAGAAAAATCTGCTCTAGTGCCACTTCATCATTGACGAATCTCACATAAGGTCACCGGGGATTAAACCTGAGGCTCCATGGTGAGAACCCAGTAAGTGCCTTAGCTATGACATGACTCATATAGAACCACTGTATTTCAGAACCTGGGTCTATTTTCAACCACAGGTAAACAAAAAAAAAAACTTACTCTGGTGGGTCATCAGGTAGAGTTCCTCTGAAACCAGGGACAACAGGGCAATCTACAAAGTCCAAAAGAACAATCTTAATCGATGTGACACACAACCACCAACAGATTTTAAAGTTTCAGAAAACTTCATACTGTGTTTCACTGACTAAGTGAAATGGCTGCATACCGTATCACGAAATTATTTGGTATCACCTTGAACACAAACGTCAGACCAGCTGATCTTTGTAAACTGTTTTTCATAAAATCAGGTTAAAATACTGTATATTAACCAGTTCATCACATGGATTCAGAACTCTCTTGTATCAGTAAGCATATTCAGTGAAATCCATATTTAATGAATCTCTGGGATAAAGGCTTATCTTACACTAAATCAAGCTTTTCATTATATGGGTCTTACACAAAATTTGACCAGAAAACAGCTTATCTTCCTATAAGACTTACTGCATATAATTATGATAAAAAATTGATCTACATGGTAGTTAAAGAAACCATTCCCACACAAATAAATAAATACAATTACATTGCTAGTGGGGTGGGACTAAGTCCCTTGTACTGTGGCCACTTCTGGCCTACTGTACTAGCCCCAGATGATAGGTGAGGGTGATTGTGGAGCAATTGGTGGAATGAAGATTGGCAGGGGAAACCAAAGTACTCAGAGAAAACCTGCCCCAGCGCCACTTTGTCCACCACAAATCCCACTTGACCAGACCCGGGATTGAACACGGGCTGATGTGGTGGGAAGCCAGCGAGTAACCGCTTGAGCTATGGTGCGGCCATACAATTACATTATCAATCAATCTAATTTCCAAAATAAATAATAACATGTGAAAAAACATGGGAAAAACCTGTCAGAAATTAATGATGCCTAAGTGGCCCCATTTCAGTGCATCTTCAGTGTTATGTCACTTGCCAAAGACTTCAGCTGTACAGTAAAAACCTCCAGTGGAAAGAAAACGTGGATATCAGTTGCTGTTTTGACCACAGTTACACTAAACTGAAGTATGAGTTCTAAAAGGGGAAAAGGTTTCTTTCACTAAATGTGGGTTACTTACTAAAGTGAAATTAACTAAATGTTGGTGTAATGTACTGTTTATACTGGATTTTGTTGGGATCATAAATATTCGTTAACTGCGAGGGATTTCACTAAATGATGGAACACTAAATTTGGATTTCACTGTACATGGGACCTGGTGGCCTTCCATGCCCACAGTCTCAGATTCAAGACCAGATGAATGAATATGGGAAATACCATGCATCATCTGTTATTTCAATCCCAAATTAGGATCCACAAGCTAGGTGCCATCATCACTGTCATCGCCGTGACTGTGATCGCTTACTGATATATGAAATGTGGATCATCACTGTAGCCAGGCAGGCAAAGGCATCAGGCACACATATACTTACAGAGTTCAGATCCTTTGACACACTCTGTCTGCACTCTGTGAATCGTGTTTATTTACTTCAACAGGGTTTTACTTTTTTTCCCCAAGTGTAAAAATGGTTTCACTATTCTATGACTCTGTTATGCAACAATAAACTGAATCTATTCCTCAGATGTCTCTCATAGTTCTTGTAGTTTATACAAAACCTAATAAAAATCAGATTTCCAAAGGAACTTATAATATGAACTTATGACAAGTACAGTAAAACTTGGTTATAGCAACATCGGTTTCTGCGACACCTTGTCTATTGCGTCAAATATTCAATGGTACGAACTAATTCCTCATAAAGCAACTGTTTTTATACCTTGCTTAGTACGACATGCACAAATGCATCAACCTCGTATGTAACGTCATTTTCATTCCTGAATTTCTCTGATATGGACATTGAACGTAATTTAGAAAGTGTGTACTGGGCAAGTAACAGGAAACAGATGAAGATAACTGATTACTGTACTCCTATCTAGGTACAGTAAGGCACAACAATTGATGTAATCTACTGTAATTTGGTGAGTAGGCCTACCTTTAATATACAGTATTAGTGCGGTGTGTATTGTCAGTGAAAAGCGCTGTAATATGTCTTTGATATTATACATTTGGGCAATTCCACGTTAATGTTACGTTAGTCTGTACTTAACTACGTATTTCACTAAAAAATGCAACATTTTAACTCGGTTTTTGGTAGATTTTTACGTGACTAACATAAGGCTACTGTGGAAGTGCCCATTTCGGTTACGACGACATTCGTTTATAACGACACTATTTTTAGGTCCCTTTGATGACGTTATAACCAAGTTCTACTGTACTTCAAACTAGTATCAAATATGTATGATTTGAGGTTTTCACGGCCGTGACTATGAAGAAAGCATTCATGTAGATGTGGTGTTAACCGACGTTTCGGAGGAACGTATCGCCTCCATCTTCAGGGTAGAAGGAAAAATAAGAAAATCTGCAAGTGAAGAGACAGTGAGAACAGGTGCAAGCAGACTAATGTTGGAAATAAACTCAGCTACATGAGAGCAGGGAAGGGATGGGACAAGTCTACATGGGAAATTGCTGGAGAGGGAGGGGGGAAGGGTCTGTGGAGCAGGAGCAAGGTTAGAGCAGGTATAGGATATTGTGTCAGGGGAGAAAGGCAAGGTTAATGGGAGGGCATTAACCCTTAAGCTGGGGGGTTGC